TGAGGAAGAAGAGGCATGTGTTAATAGAAAGGAAGGGAAAAGGTATATATATACCCCTCCAGCCCCCAACGGTCACTTAAATCACAGATAGCCGTAAGGGAGGAAAGGGAAAGGTATATATATACCCTAGCCCATAACGGTCACCGCACCCAAGGAGTCGAGCGAGACGAAGCCCGCGGCCTCGAGGTCGAGCGAGATGGATCCCGCGACCTTGGGGTCGGGCGAGACGGATCCTGCGACCTTGGGGTCGGGCAAGACGGAGCCTGCACTAAGGGGTCGGACGAGACGGAGCCCGTGACCTTAGGGTCAGGCGAGACGGAGCCCGCTCCACGAGTCGGGCGAGACGGATCCCGCAACCTTGGGGTCGAGCGAGACGGATCCCGCACCCAAGGGGTCGGGCGAGACCGTTTAACACGTCTCGAGCCTTCTGGGAAAGTTAGCGTGGCCGCTAATTTCCTTGTGCCGCGATTCAAGTACGTCAGTGCCTCTCTTCAAGTGCGACGGTACTGCACCACGCAAGACATCAAGGGTAATAGTAAAGTGGGTATTGTCTTGGCTGTGAATCTGATGATGCTTATGGTTGTTTGAGCACTTGGTAGCACATATTAGCTTAAGCATTGTGTCCCCCTTTATAGTACGGCTTTTCCTATACTCAAATTCAAGATATAAAATAATCTTAAACCTCTTTTGAGTTTGAAGCCATCTGTATTTGTAATTGGAGGCTCCTCCATTTCGTGTAGCATCCTCGAATATAAATTCCCTGTCATCTCGTTAAATCTCATTGGTTCTCTAATTGCGTGATCATTATCACCAAAACCCACAAATAAGGCTTAATTGCACTTTCACATGGGGTGCTTGTCGGTGGCGCGGTGAGGTCCGGCGATGAAGTCGCGGACGCAGTGGCGGCGGTGGCCGGTGGCGGTCTTTCCGTCGCTGACAATGTCCCCTCACTAGATCGGCTTAGGGTTTAGGGACAGTAGGTGGGGTGTCTGGCGGCTCAGGTGATTCTCGTGCCTTATGCCCTGACCCCCACCTCTCTTTTTATGGCGCTGTGCGACGGGGCCCACCAACCATGAAGTAGTTGGACGCCTTCGATCAGGACACGGATCAAGAACCCGAGCTAATTGGTGGAGATCAATCTAATCTAGCAGACTCCAACAATTAATGGGCATGTTCGCTAGTTGGTACTGGCTGGTACTGTTTTTTTAGAGAAAAACACTATTAACTAGCTGATTTGACCTGGCTGAAACCAATAAACGAACAGACTGAATATTTAAGTGAAATATGAAAACCACGGAGGACGGAATCAGATTCAAAATCACTTATGCTAGCCAACTTGAAAATAGCTTAATGCGACAGGGTGAAACAACGAAGGTTGTCAGCAGGCCCTGGACTACTGTCAATGAGCATGTGTTTGTTGCATCCAACTGCAGCCTGTTTCGTTTGGCTGTGACTTGTCGCAAACGATCGTAAATTTTCAACCGAAACAGTATTTTTCTCTCACACAAACCAATCAGCAATGAGCCTGTTCGGCAGGACTGAAAAATAAACAAAAATACTGTTCCAGCTGATTGTTGTAAGAGAAAAATACTGACTGACATCACTGTTCACGTGAACAGTGATTCGTGAGGGGTCTGCCCAGCCAGCCGAACAGCCCCGATACTTTTTCACGATCCAGCGACCATACCAGAAAACCGAACAGAAAATCAGCTTCCGAACACGCGTTAAGATGATGGGGGTGAGAATCGTACCAACCATAATGAGCATGTGATTGGTGATCAGAGTGCAACAAAGGGATTACCTTGTGCTGGGTCATGGCGATGCTGTCCAGACTCCAGACACTGATGACGAGCGTTGTGGTCACCTTCGGGTCGGAGCAGATCGGGGCATTCCTCCGGCGCCGGCGGCCTCCGTCACCGGGCGCAGATGGTGCCGTAGAGGTAGGCGACGGCAGTACCAGGTGCGGGGATGGTGATCTGGCCGCTCGCGCTCTGAATGAGACGGAGGTACTTCTCTCTCCCCGTCTCCTCATCTGACAGGGCTATGGCATAGGTGTACTACAGCTACATGCCTACATTGAACCAGTCCACACCTAGCCGGCTCACATCCTTCTCCCACATTTGCGCCCCTTGCCCCCTTCCCAGTTCCACCTCTCCCACCACCGCCGCCTCTTCCCACCTCTCCCAGTCCTCCCACACTACCGCCGCCTCCTCATTGGCGCTACAGCCACTTCAGCTCGATTTGAAAATGGAGATCCTCGAATCGGCGCTGTTGGGGGAGTTCATCCGCTACATCAAGTCTAACTGGTCGGCGCACTCGCGGGTGGACCAGCGCCAGCGCCGCCTGCGCCAGCTCGTGTCCAAGGTCCGCGCGGTGGTGGACGCCGCCGAGGGCGGCGCGGGGGCGGCCGTGCGGGACGAGTCGTTCTCGGCCTGGCTGCAGGTGCTCCGATCCGAGGCGCTGCGGGGGCAGGAGGTGCTCGACGACGCGGCCCGCGCCACGGCCGTCGCCAGCTCCGCCCGCCGCTTCCTCGCGGGCTTCAAGGCGCTCTTCGTCTGCAGCGCCGAGGTGGACCGCCTCGCGGAGGCCGTCGAGCAGCTCGAGCTCCTGGCGGGCCCAGGCGGCGACCTCGACATGTTCGTCAGGGTCCTCAGCCTGGACTCCGCCCGGGCCGCCGCCACGGAGGAGGACATGGACGTCGACGGGCGTCCGGCACCCGGTGCTCGCCACCGGCAGGAGGGGAGCGGCTGCAGCTGTGGATGCGCGGGCACCGTCGCGACCCTCCTCCCTTCGCCTGGCGCCAAAAGGAAGCGCGCCTGCGGCGGCAGCGGCAGCTCAGGCGTCGACGCCGGCTCGACATCGCGCGGCGAGGTCGACGCGGTGCAGCCGCAGAAGCGGCGGCACCTGGCGTGGATGCGCTCGCGCCAGGGGCTCCCGTCCGGCTTCGGCAGGGTCTCCTCCGCACCTCGTGAACCGCCGCCGCCGGCGTTGCCGCGCTCGCGTCGCGCCCGGTCGGTGGCATTGGCGATGTCTAGGATTCGACGCCGCATCGGAAAGCCGACGGCGACGAGCCATCGGCGGCAGCCCAGCCTCGGACGGCAGTTCTCGCGGATTACATTGTAGACGAGAAACCGACGGGGGTGAAGGGAGGTAGGCTATCGCCCATGATTTCATAGTGCATTTTGCAAAATTATGGGATTCCTCTTGCAATTAACCTACTGGTAGTGGCAGTTCTTCTTCATCTTTGAATGAATTTAGAATCAATGAACTTGCAGCAGCAGCAGAGTAGTAAGTGCTACTTCGGTTAGTTTGTGATATTGGTAGTAGATTCAAGCTGCACCTGCACTTGTGAGCTGTGACTCCAGCTTAGGAGTAGTAGTGCTAATTCTACTGTTGACTGAGACGAACCGATAGATAACGTTAAGATCTTTGTTCTCTGCAGTTTTGTTGTGCGATGTTGTTTTTTCAGCTTTTCTTATTAAAGAACTGGGAGGGCAACACGTGCTGGTATGAAAAGAATGTAATTTCTCGTTTCTTGACAAGCTAATCAATCTTAGTTATAATAACTAAATACATATAAAATTATATAATTTGTCTCATTAATCATTAATAATGATTTTTTACAATAAATCTATTTAATAATTGTATAAATATCAATAGTATTTTTATAAACCTAGTTAAACTTATAAAAAGCTTAATTTAGGTTAAAATTAAAATTGCATTATTTTAGGACGGTTTTTGGATGGTGGTAGTTTATTGCCCCGATCATATCGTGCTTTGACTCTGGTCAAGCGGCACATGCACGGATGAAATGGTAGATCTGGGTGATGGAACAACAAAAAATTACACTTTTTTTGGCGAAGAATGTGGCCGCCACCTCTCGCTTGGCCGCCTGCTTTGCGAGAACAAGGGTGCGTGCCTGCCACCACGCCTGCATCGATGGAACGACGACCCTGTTCGGCTGGAGCAGCTGGCTGGCCGGTGCTGGTCAGCCCTCTCACGCTAGCACTGTTTTTAGTCAGAATTTTTACATAAACTAGCCAATACTTTCTCACGAACCACCGATGAACAAGCAACAGTTACTGCTGGCCTGTTCGGCTTCTGAGAGAAAAATACCGATTCTGATAAGCCGGCCGATGCCTTGCCCATGTGCTGACGCGACGGTTCGTTCCTCGGAGTTCGGGACTCCATCAGGAATGTGGCCGAACAGTTCGGACTCCAACTACAAAGCGCACTGTGAGCCCGTGACTCGCCATGCAGCGATACGATTCCAAGTGGGTCGAGTCCACTTGAAGCGAAAGTCGAAGTACTGCAGGCCCATCTCATGTTAGCTACGGTGCTAGAGACGATTCCAGCCCGGCCCAATGAAGTCTACGGGCCGAGCTCATGCCAACCATCCTACGGGCTTCAGCATCTGGTCTTCTGCTCAACAGCAAGTCAACAACCCGGTAGAGGAGATTGTTTTAAAATTCAATATTTTTTGGTGGAAAAACACCTTGATTGATGTGGATTTTGGTCAAGATCGTAAACTAATCTTTGTATAAGATTCATTAAGAAAGCAACAGCCCGTCTGTGCTTGCGCTAATGATGCGTGTCTTCACCAATTAGCGTCCAAAATCAATGCGCGGAATCTCAAAGGGTGCTCGAACTAACATTATTGATTATTCCCTGCACCTGCAGGCCGCAGTTCGGTGCTATGATCGAGTTCGGTGCTTGGTGGATCCTCTTTTCTTTTCGTTCTAGCGAAAAAAAATGCCGCCGACGAAAACGATGCATTTGTATAAATTTGTAGAAATGTGGAGCTTTATATACAAGTTTCGGTTTGAATTGATGCAAAGTTACAAAAGACGCTCAAAAATCGATACAGGAAATATCACACGCGACGGCCGAATTTACAATTCCAACGGAAGGGGACGAGAAAACGGGAGTATTTACCACGCCGAGACAAGTTTCGATCGATCGATGGCAGCATTACACGGGTGCGCGCCGGTCACTCAGAATCAGAGGTCCTCCGCGATGCAGGCGAGGTGCGGCTGCCACGGCGCGGCGTGGCTGCCGGTGCTCATGCGCCGCCGGTGCTGCTGCGCGGCCGCCCTCTTGTGCTGCTGCTTCTTCTTGGCTGCCTCCTTCTCCGGCGAAGACTCGGCGCCGAGCTGCCCCAGCTGCCAGTCGGTCACGGCGGCGACGACGACGCTGCCTTCGGACTTGCTGCGCACGTGGCGGCTCGGCGTGCCAGCACCGCCTCCGGCGCCGGCGGCCTTCTTGGCGTCGGGCACGGACGCGGCGGGGATGAGGAAGTAGATCTCCCCGCGCTCCAGCACCGAGTCTGGCGACACGATGAGGATCCTGCGCACCACCCCCTGCGGCGACGAGCAGGGCCTGCTGAGCACGTGGTTTGGATGCGCCGCCAGCACCTCCCCGGCCGACACGGCGCGGCCGTACTCGTCGACGCGGCCGCTGAGGTGCACGATCCGCACCAGGTCCAGCGCGCCGCACGGCAGCACGCACGCCAGGCAGCACCGCAGGCTGTTGCCCATGCCTCCGCGCCTCGTCGTCTTCGATGTGCCTTATTCCACCCTCTCTCGTCTCTCTCTGTCCTCGCCGTGACGACGCGGCCGGCACGTATATATAGTTGGTGAGCTCGAGTTGACGACAAACAGAGAGCCAGAAAATGTACTTTTAGGTAATTAAGGCCCATTTGATACGGCTCAGCTTCACTAGTAAAATTATTTTTTTTAAATTTTAGCTTCATGAGTAGCCGCGCTCCGACAACGGACGGCGCCCCGGCGGCCGCGCCCCAGCCGGCCAGGCCCCGTCGCCTCTCTACCCCCGGCGAGCGGCAAGCCGTCTCTCTCTCCTGGGGTATGCTGTCTTTTGTGTATAGTGGGACCCACGTGTCGGAGATGAAGCTAAAATAAGCTATTTTTTTTTTCTTTCAGCTCTCCTTCGTTTTATTCCCTCGTGAGAGGAGAAAAAAACAAAATCATTTATAAAGCTGTTTTAAAAAAATATATTTAACAAAAAAAAATAGCTCACAGCAGCTCAGCTGTGCCATCCGGGCCGTATGTGAAGACACTCACCGGAGAGACGAGAAGGATGGATTAATCACGTCTTTTTTTTCCTTCTTGAGAGGAATAATTAACTAGCAAACAAATAATAATGTAATAGGTTATTTAGTAGGGCCCATGTTCCGATAATCATTTTTATTTTGTTTTCTGTTTCAGAGGTAGCGGATGCGCCAATGATTCGCACACGGCACACTCATGCGCACAGCCATGCTGCCCTGCTGGAGCTTGGTTGTACTGTATCCTTCCTCTTCCTCCTCAGTCCTCACTGATGGTGCGTGCGTTGGATTGCATTGCATCAGTATTCAGTAGCCCTGCAATGCAAGCGATGCGACGAGACGAGGACGAGTGTGAACGCACCATTGGAGGATGGATCATGGATGCCAGAGATTGGGTTCTGAATTATTCAGGCATTTTTTTATAGGCAAATAGAAATATTTTTAGAGCGGAATTATGCGTGTACATACAGTACTGCTGCTTGTGATTGATGTTTGGTACGCGTACTACGTGCACAATGCTCCAAAACGAACCCGGCCGTGCAACGTCTTTTTCGTGAGCAGTGGGTGATCATTTTGGGGGGGAATATTGTATTTATATTTGTGCTTTTTTATATACGAGAGAAGGTGAATGCGGATTAAGCTAGCTACCTGCCATGGTGGACTCCGATTCGAGCCAGGCGACTACTACGTGTGTTGGATCATTGGAGTAGCTAGGTAGCTCCTAATTACTGAAGCTGAATCATTGTGTTGGAACAAATCGTGTCATTAGTCTCTTGCTTAACGCACGTGTAGCCAAGCTGGACCAAAATTATTGTGCAGCAGGTTGGTTGGCTTTGGCTAAGCTTACTAGCCTACTACTCGATCTCTTGCTTGCTTGCTCTCCGGTCAACCCGTCGATGCTCGCCACCGTGGTTCTGCTAGATTGCGTTACCAGACAAACTAATCATGTCAATCGGATTTTCTATTTTTCTTTTTCTTTTGCGAGGATGATGGTTTTGTTTCACATAGGATCCACAGGCCTCAAATGTTAACCGCTGTCCTCGCCAGATCCAACAGTTGATCAGCAGCCAGGGAATATCATTAGCGCGGTAATCATAGGATTGTCTTACAGAAATTGACAGCTTCCGTCAGTGTGTCCGAGGTACTACGCACGCGCGGGCAGGTGGCACGGTAACGTGCCGAGTGGCAAGTGAATGGAACTTGCTAGTAGCAGTAGCAGTACCTGTACCTGTTGTACCTTGTCCTTACCATACGTGTGCACGTGGTGGCCGCACGTGGGGGCTTCCATGCAAACAGTAGTGTTTGGAAACAAACAAGTGCCTCTCCCATGATCCCATCCGTTGGCCGATCCCATCCCATCCCATCCATCGCGCCCCATCACGACACGTGGCCCGCCGGCGCGGCCCCACGTCCACGCGGGCGTTGTCACCTGTCGATCGATCGGATGCGCCGGTACACCGAACACGTTCCCAAGTTCTTCTCCACGAATCGGCATCGCGATCCAGGACCAGGACGGACGCGCCCTTGTCCCACGGACCACGTGTGAGCGCGTCGACCTCGACTACTCGGCTTCCAGTCCGTTCCCCGGTGGGCCACGGCCGCGGCCACATGATGGGCTAACGCGTGCAGTCTCCAGTGCCTGAGCCCAGCCACTACCACTGGGCCATGCCAGAACCTCCGGCCCGCTTACTACTACTCCGTCTCAAAGCAGCCCATAAGTGAGGACTGACCGACTGAGGACTGCAAAGGCGGTTCATGACCCTCGCCCCTCGCGTCTCGTCTCGCTGTAACCGATCGCCGTGCGGCCGACCGACACGACGACCGGCAGGAGCACGACGCTACCTGCCCTTCCTCGCGCTCGATTCACCGGCCCGCGTCGTAAAGGACTAAAGGCGGTTGCGTTCCATGGCACGCCTTGCCGTTCTTGGCTGCTCACCCGATGCGTCTTCAATTCGCCAGGCAAACCTTCTTCCATTCTGGGTTCCTCGATGAAGACGCGAGCGCCGCGTCTTCCGCGAGTGCGCGCTCGTTCGTCTCCATCTCTTTCTCCCTTTTCTGCAGCTCCGTCTCGGGTTAAAGCCGTGTACGTGACGAGGCCTCTCCTTCCATTGTTACCATAAGCTCTCGATCGGTTGGGAGCTCGGTTATTCGGTTTTGGGTAGTAGCCACGCCACAACTCCACAAGAGCAAGTGAAGAAGAATCTTGCAAGCTGTCTGCCCAGCACATCCGTTCTCCGGGCGTGATCGGCCGCGGCCGGGAGGACCGGCCATGGACGACGACGGCCTCGGCTGCTGCTGCGGCTGCTGCCTCCTGTGCTGCGCCTGCGCCGCCGAGGTCATCTGCAACTGGTGCACCTTCCTCGTCGCGCTGGCGGCCGCCGCGGTGCTGGTCGCCGCCTTCGGCGTCGCGCTCCCCGTCCGCGCCACCGTCACCGACGCCTCGCTGAGCCGCCTCGACCTCGTCGTCACTAACAGCAACGGCACCGCTACCGCTACCGCCGCCTCATCCGTCTCCGTCTCCGTCGCCTACAACCTCTCCCTGACCGTCCAGCTCCGGAACCGCAACTGGGCGATGCGGGTCGAGCTGGCCGCGCCGCTCGACGCCGAGCTCCGCTTCGCGGGGCGGCGCTTCGACGGCGCCCGCCTGGCGGACCCGGGCAGGAGCGTCCCGCCGCGGGGCACGGAGGAGTTCCGCGTGCTGGCCGCGTCGCCGTCGCCCGGCGGGGCGGCGCTGGGAGGCGCCGGCGCCGCGGCGGAGCTCTCGAGGGAGCGCGCCGAGGGGGTGTTCGAGGTGGAGCTGCGGATCGCCGGGGAGGTCAGGTATCGCCCCGTGCACGCCGGCCGGAGGAGCAGGCTGGAGGCAACGTGCCCGCTCAAGTTGCTCATGCCGAACGCGCCGCGGGGGACGCACTTGGTGGTGCTGCAGAAGGACGTCAGCTGCTATTAGCCTACTATAGCTAGCTTGCTTGCTTACCAGGAATTACGTACGTACGTATGCTAGCATTGCATATATGGTTGCATTGGACGCAGTTTGTTGGGGATGCGCGTGATCTCTGATCTGATCTTTCATATGAACAAACTAACCTAGCATGGATTCCTACGCATTTGCATTGTAATTACTATAGTCACGAATGAATGGCTCCACGTCTACTGTCATTCATCTTCAAGTAGTCATTTACATTCTTCGGTCTGTACACCAATATGTCGTTATTAAATGCGTAGCATGAAAGTTCTTGAAGTGCCCACAACTACAATAGCGAACGCAATACTAGAGAATTTGCAGGAAATTCGCCTTTGTTTGGTTAATTAAAATCAACCTGCAACTTTTTGATCACCAACTACGTTGAGCACGTTGACTATAAGCACTAGAAAATTATATGGGCAGTCTTCTTTTTTTTTAGAAAAAAAAGTTTCATAATCATAGAATTCGAAAGAAAATACTAGTTATTATCAAATTATATGCACTTTTCCTATCTACCAGGTGCCTGATTTCCTTTAATCCGTCCAGGCGACGTAGCAGCTGTTGATCGTGTTTTGTTTTTTTGTGCATGATCAAACTCTCAGATGGAATCCAACGGCTGTACAGTGTCGCCTGGAGATGGCTACTTTTCAGACACCTGTAAATTAGCATATCCCAATTATATGGGTAACTCTGTTCTCTTAAAATATGGATTCATTCTGAAATGCTTGACGTTTAATTTTATCCATTTTCACCGTATGCAATTTCACCCCAAAAAAATCAATTTTAACATTTTAAATAAAATGTACAGACAATAATTATCGCTAGTTGAGGTGGTTGGAACTAAATCCAGCCAATTCAATTGGCTTTCAACCGGAACAAATGGCCGAAAAGTCAACCGCAGCTGCTGCCGCTAGCTGATCCGGCGGGAGAGATACATTTGCAAAATTTTAGCATGGGAATTTTTTAAAGAAACCTATTATATGAAGAAAATAAAAATTTTCCACAGCAGGCTGAGGTTCTAGCGTTGCCCAACTCAAAAGCCCGCTGGTGTCTGGGCTGAGCCGCTCAGGCCCAGGAGCGCAGGCTAGGCAACCCAACGCACCGTCGCCCCTCCCGTTCCTCACTCGCGCCGCCTCCCACACGCGCACTCGCGGCTCGCGCAGGCAAGGCGCCGCCGCCGCCCAGCGCCGAGAGGAGCAGCGCCGTCGCTCAGCGGCCGCCGGCGACGAGCCTCCGCGGAAGCCAGCGGCCCTACCGGCGAGGCGGCGAGTTCTTCTTCCTTCTCCACCGACGGGACAGCGCGTGGATCCGGCGACCTCTGGGCTCCGGCGAGGCGGCGACGGCGAGTGGTGACTGCTGATAGGTGGTGAGTTTATTTGCCTTCTGTCTCAGCCCTTCCTTAGTTTATTTGATTCGATTTCTTCTTATGAGAGCTGCTGTATTTTGAGTGCAGCGTCCACGTCGACCATTGCCCACTTGGAAACTGGAACTGGGCTGAGCGGATGTAAACCGTTCGAATTCCAATCGCACGGTCTGCGCTCCTCCCTCGTCAAGGGCTTCGTGTCTTCACCGGTAGCGCGCCGCCATGTCGGAGACTGAATCGGCGGCAGTGGCAGCGGCGCCGGACCCGGCGGCTGCAGCGGAGCCGAAGCCTCGGCGGCTGCGGGGGCACAAGAAGGGCGCCGTCACCTGCTGCGTCGCCTCCTCCGCCCGCCCGGGCGTCGTCGCGTCCTCCGGCGAGGTAGGCGTTTCCATCACACTGCTCGTCTACTCTTCCGAGAACAAACACTGCGTCGTACGATGACTCGGTGTCCTGCTTTGGGAGTTGTTACAAGGGCGCCCCGTGGTCCATGGGCGTCGGCCAATAGTTGCAGTGCAGGCCATGGTGTCTTTCGCTGAGGACACGAGTCGAACACCTCATGTGCAGTGGTCGCTGGTTAATTGGTGCTCGGTTGAGACATTTTGTCGGTCGGGTGGCAAACCATGCGCTGACTGCACATCGAGCTAAGCGTGTTGCCAGAACAACGAGCCGCACCATGGGTTCTCCTCCTTGCATTCTATCAACGCACTGGATGGAATATCCTGTGTGGGATTAGTAACATAGATGATTCTTTCGAGTGTCCAGTGACCATTGTCTGAAAGTGAACTATCTGGTAACAATCTTATAAGGTTATGCCATGCCCCATGTCCCCATGCCTTTTTGTGATTTTATCCATTATATCCATTCGGTATCACAGTTTCATTACATGTTTCATGCTATGTTGAAAGCACCAGTAGGAACTAGGAAGAAATGAGATTTTCATGCGGTAGTAGACTGGTAGGCAGAGAAGAGAAGGCAATCCATTACTAACTACTTGGTCACTATGCTGGAAATTCTGGTATCATAGGGTAGTTGGTGCTCTCCTTGTGTAGGTCTCCTTTTTAGCGACTTGTCCTAAGCTGCAGTCAGGAGTTAGAATGATTCATAGGGTCGATGATTCATACTGTCACATCTCTTTTCACATGGTACTGTCACATCTCTTTGGGACCGCATGAAAAAAGCTTGTTGCCACGTGCCTAATTGAGGAACCATCAAGCCAGGCTCAGAAGATCAACCCAAGTACGATCTGGGCTAGTTCTGTGAAGCCATTCCCACCTTAATCTGAGGGCGCACCCAAAGAGACAGAAATCCTGGAAACCTAGGCCACCAAGCTCAGTAGGGTGACAGATCAATCTGTTCAATGGCCCATACCGACAAACAGGTGGCAATGGAGATGAATATTAGAATTGCAGAGTGTGTGACCTTCACCAAGGTAACCCGCCCAGCTAAATTTAGCATGTTGCCCTTCCAAGTGAGAATTCTATCCACAATCATGTCCACCAACGGCTGCTCCTTGTTGTGTTCAAGCTTGTAGATCGAGAGAGGAACACCTAAGTAGTGACAGGGGAAAGGAGCAATCTGACAGCCGAAAATCTCCTGACCGAAGGCAAGTTCGGCCATGGAGCACCGGATGGGTGTCACCTGGCACTTGTCCAGGTTGGTCCGAAGCCTGGTCAGTGGTCACCCTCTCGTCGAATGTACCCAGAATGCTTCTCAAGTCAAGACCAAAAAAATCCCATTGAAGTGGAGCGACCAGGACCACGAGATCATCCGCACCAGATGCTTGGCACTTGATGGCACTATGGCCCAGTGGCTTGAGAATATCACATTGTTCCGCCAAACAAATCAGTGCATTCAGCACCTCCATGACAATAACAAAGATCATTGGCGACAACGTCACCCTGGCACAGACCTCTTGCATGGTCGATCCGCCTCCCAGTCCGTCCGTTTAACAAAATCTTCGTGCTTGTTGTTGACAAAATAATAAGATAAATATAAATCCAATCATGCCATCCTTGTAGTGCTCCTTTAGCTCAAAATTTTCCTCACCAGCAGTGAGGCTATTGCACTAATCTTATGCATATGATTTGTACTATTTGCCCCCCTTCCCCCGTTTTTCGAGCCCTTGGTGGGTTAATTGTCATGTTCTCATGTCTTATCCTACCGCCTCAGGATGGATGTCTTTGCTGGTTTGATCTGCGCACCAAAGATGTACTTTTGACCATGGAGGCAGCAAATAAACCAATTTCTTCAATTTGCTTTAAACCAGGTCAGTATGCCATCCAAATACAAGCATCTTTGTATGTTAATCCATTAATTGAATATTTGGTGGGCGTGCAGACATTTTGCACTTACAAAATCATTATTTGTGTAGGAAATGAAGATTGTGTGTATATCTCTGCTGGAAATGAAATATTGTCCTTTGATGTTCGTATGGTAAGTTCAGAATTCAATTGTATTTTTATTGTTAGTTTGAAGTTATATGATCCAACTTACTATTATGTCGCCTGTGCCTTGGTTTCTTGTCAGTAACATGATTACAGTGGTTTTCTTATAGGGAACTCAATCAAAGCCATTAGAGATGTATAACTACAATAGAGATGAAATCAATCAGGTAGTATACTATTCTACAAAACCACTATAAAATATCCTCCTACTGTGATCTTTCTCCTACAATTCAATTCTAGGCTTTATGATAACATTGAATTGAGCTAAAGATTCAGAATCTGATACTTCCACTTTTGATGCAGATTGCTGTCAGCTCTAAAGGTTTTCTCGCTGCTGCAGATGATAGTGGGGATGTTAAGGTATAGAATATTTTGCAAGTGTATGAACATAAATGTCAAAGATCATTGCATTTTAACAAATATCAAATACCATATTCTCCAGATTTTGGTGTTGGCTATTTTGAGGTTGTTGCATGAATGTGTTGAAAGAGTTTGCATACCTCCAGGCATTGTAGTGCTGACACGAGTAAATTTAGACAAATATTTTATATAAAATTTACGAGTTTATTGTATGAGACTAGTAAAGCAAATTCTAGGGCACACTGTTTTTCCTGCTTAAGGTATATAAGCATATTGTATGGAATTTATTTTGGAATGTTCTGTTTCGAAAATGGCACAAATGATGCTCCTGAAGAATAAGTTTGCTGTAAGATCGTTTGTCATTATGAATTCAAATTTACCGGCTTATATATTTGTGCTTTGTTCTGAAACCAAGAAGAGGTTGTTATGTTACACTTTTTGAATCACATGTAGATTGCTAGAGGGTTTGGGAACTGGAGAACAGTAGAATAAATGCCTCAAGTTAGAAGAAAGATATGTGCAACACACTGATAGGCATGATTAATCTTGTACTTGTTCAATGATTTTGTTCTTGAGAAGTTATGGTCTATTTTGCAGATTGTCAATACCATTCAGAAGTGCCTGTATAAAAGACTAAGGGAAGCCCACACAAGTGTATCCTTATCTGGTGTAACTGGATGCTTTTGATAATTTTTATTTGTAGTAGCATTCCATTTTTATGTTTAAAAATGTGCAATAAGTTCCTCTCTATATGCAATATGTACGACTGTTGTTCCTTGATAAATTTTCATACAGATTTGCAGCAGCGTGCAATTCATTCCTTGGAGACCTTGGACAGGTTAGTGTTATCATTTTCTTTTTCTTTTTTCAGGGTTTTGTTTGGCTTAATCTTGTAGTCTTGTGGCTCCTTTTTTGTCAACCTTTTAGGGAGCCAATCCTAGAAAACTTTGTTAATTCTTATTTTTTTCAATGCCTTTATTGTCAATAATAAATATTTTTCATTTGGTAGCAATTACTGGTGGCCTTGACTCAAAGCTCGTTGCATGGGATTTCTCCAAAGGACGAACACTGTTTTCTATTGATTATGGTACCTCCTTTACTTTCCATGGAACACCTGTGAATAGCGTGCGTTACTTAGGCTGCTCCATGTTCTTTTTGTCTTTGTAAAAGAGTATCCTAGCAGTTCCTTGATCTCATACATTTCCATTAAGCATTGGTAAATTGAGCCCTCATATTGTCCATCGGAAAGTCGGTTCACCTTGCTTTACATAGAAATATTAGTTTCTGTTCATGTATGACAAAGCTGTATCAGTATTGTTTTTCACCTCAAAATACTCTCCAATTCGGATCAATCAACAATTCAACATAATATTCATTACTGAGTTTCAGGATCACCTGAATTGCAAAATGGCAGTTCTTCCGGTAGTGCAGGGCAATGTTTCAACCCTGCTTTTGTTCATTCAGTAGCAGTTTCTGAAGAAGGTATTTTGGGAGGGCTCTACAAGGTTTGTGCTGTTGCAAGGGGGGATGGTGCTGTTGATGTGGTTGATCTTGAGTATGAACTGGCTCCTGCGAAATCGAAGGGACCTCCTCGGGCAGCTATTTCAAAAATGAGTTCAAAAGGAGCTGAACTTGGAGATGGGAGCTGTAATCAAAGTCAAGCGAAAAGAATTCATCTTGACTACACGATGGGTGGCCATACCGCAGCTGTGTCTTGTGTGTAAGTCCCTTCATTTTGTCAATGTATCAGTTAAATATCTCATTATATGCAGCTCTCTTGTGTATTGAGGCAAATCTTGTTTTCTTGAACTAATCAGCTGCTTAACAGAGCATTTTCAGTATTTGGTGAGAAGGGGAAGTTCCTCGTTTCTGGCGGCAATGATGCATCAGTGAAGCTGTGGGATTGGTCGAAAGGAGTTTCCTCTGAAACAAACAGCAAAGTTGAATTGGTTTTGAATATTGATGTAAAGAAAAAGGTCAGGACTGAACCTTCAAATTTTTGCAACTATTGTGATGTTGTCTCTTTTTTGTCTTTGACTATTCATATGTACAGCTGATAACAAAATATAGAAATCTTTTTAAATAAATGGGTTTTTGTATTTTAAAAGATGAAGTTCTTAGGCTCAGTAAAAAAATTCATGATGACCTCTGTGTTGGCAGGTAAATTGGCTGTGTACTGCTCCAACTGATTCAGATAACTTGATTGTGTGTGACACATCCAAGGTGGTCAAAGTATATAATTTCCGGTAGATGGATCAAGGTGTAGCCTCAGTTTGTCAGACAGTTATCCGAGGGAGTGAAGATTGTCTGACCGTTGGAACCAATTTGGTCCTGACTCTGGTATCCAGATATTACAAGCCTGGTGCAGATAGTTCCTGAATTGAGAAGTCATTGGTTAGCAATTCGCAATATCAGTTATGGCGTGGAACGGATCTGATAAAGTATCGATTATTTTGTTACTGGCGGATCTTATTTTGTTCCGATATGTGTGTACAATACAACTTCCACAGGCTGCTAGCTAGACTTATCTTTGTTGTTCCACAGGCTGCTAGCTAGACTTATCTTTGTTGTATGGTGAAATGAATTTACGTGTTTGGAGAAAAGAAGGCTTGTTTGTGCTGGAAGACATTATCCTTTTTGTTTCTATATATTGTAGCTGTTATTTCTCGATATGGTGCTACCTTTGGCAGCACATATAACCAAGAACCAAGGAAGATGCATGATGAATGTTTTTCTGTGCTATAATGTGTTAATGACGGCCTGTTGAACTATCTCTGAAGGATCTCTTGCACTCTTGGGCAACTTGTCAGTCTCAGTGGTTTCAAACTCTTGTACCCATGGAAATTGGAAACAGGAGGAAGAAGAGGAGTTCAAAGTTTTCCGTGAGACGTCGTGATCTTGGTGTGGCTGTGCTGGACTGGATAGCTTTCTGGATTAGGTTGCCCATTTGCCTTTTGCCCTTCACAAGAGCACATGAATTGATAACACATTTTTGCAGTCTTTCCCAACAATTGCTCAGAAAGTTCTATCTTGTGATGAGGAGGGTATTTCTGCAAAACTTCCAGGTCTGTATCATCTTCCATTTGCATGTGGTCAGGAAGTGGATAGAAGCAGGCCTGAAACTGTCTCCGTTGGAAGACACGAACCAGGGGGTTTCTTTGGAGGAGAATGAAGAGGAGAAATGGGAGGCTTGCTCTTGCCGCATCACCAAACCTTTCCAAATTCTTTGCAAGCTGCCATCCCGGGATCTCTCTCTCTTCACAAAGGTGACCGCAAAAACCTTCATTACTTCACAGTTGGTAGGCCTGATTTCACAATCTTTGGAGCTTTTATGGTGAAAAAATAGTGTTTGCAGAATCTCTCGTTCTGCTCTTTGGCAAATAACTAGGTAGCGTGCTTGTGTGTTGTTACAGGATAACTAACGATTTATACTAAAAACACATGGATCGCACGATAAGATAACAATATTGTTAAATTAAATACCAACGTTAAAGTGACTTTTAATCAAAAAGCAAAGTTTATGAATTTAACACAGTCACGGAGCGCGCGGTGTCGCAGGCTCACAAACTCTAGAGCTTCCAGAGATTGGGTCGAATCCAATCTAGAGCCTCGGAACCCTACATCTTTTCCTGGACGGGCTTCACTTCGGATGCGCCGGTAGCAATATCAACGATCTCCAGTCGATGGACCAAGTCGTATGAATCCCCATACAATGGCTCAGACATTTAGATTTTGTTCTCCTTGTACTTAGATACACTTGTTCCACTAAAGCTTTTATTGAAATGTTTAGACACGAACAGTGTCTGATCACCGATCTCCCTCACCCTGGACCACTCCGGCGTACGGTCGTGGATGTTGCACTTGTAGATCGCGCTGCTGTAGGTGAAGCTCTGTGTCTCGTGGAACGTGCTCACCATGGCACACACAATGTGCAGCTCACCGTTTGATTTTATGTAGCTACGGTGGCAGAGCCCCGCAGGTGGCGACAACGATGGCAGCAACATCGCGGTTGGAGTAGCGTCGGCGGCGTTGCTGCTGCAGACGAAGATTTCTCCAGTGCAGTCGATCGCCAAGAATTTATCTTGGCAGTGGACGATGGACCCCACGGAGAACTCCAGTTTGGCGTCGAGCAGCGTCCATGCGCTGTCGACTCCAACCCGGCAGAACGCGATCTCCGAGGAGCACCCAAGCATGGCCATGGCCACGCACTCGTGGCCGGCGGCGTCAGGCGGCGCCGAGAGCACGATCTCACGAAAGAACACGTCCCTCATGTCTTCTAGCTTGATGGCTCTGCCTGCGGCATCCGCGTCCCTGTAGCCGTTGGTGGGATGGAGGACCCACCGGTCGTGGACCCTAGACACGCGTTCCGATGAGGACGTCGCCGCGACGTGTTCGCCTGCTGGCGGGAGCTCAACGCGGGGGGCACGGGCACCGGCGAATGGATTCGGCAGTGTCACGGACGCTGCCTCGTCCATGAGCACCAGCCACCCACACGAGGAGCCGCACGCCACCTTGCCGCGCACATCGGGCAGCGTCTTGGACAAGACCTTCTTCTCCGAGACGTAGTAGAAGTCGACGCGGTCCGAGTCAGGGTCGAATGGGAGCAGCAGGAGCGGCCCGAAGGTCGCGAAACGGGACGGCGGCGCGCCATGGGGAGCAAGCGGATCGGAAGGACGCCGCGTCGTGGCCTGACGCGAGACGCTGCCTGATGGACTCGAGGAGATCCTCTGGCAGGCCAGATCTCCAGTCAGGGAGAGGTAGGGACCTTCTCTTGGGATTGGGAGGCTGAGCCATGGAAGATAGATGACATCAACTATGGTTCACGCAAGAAACAACAAGCGAGGGCGATGGAACACGTGAGCGTGAAACCAAATGAAAGGAGAAAAAAGTTGTCCCTTTTGCAAATGCAAAGAGGGGAAGTAAATAAATGTAGGTAGATTTGACAAGATTCTCAGAAATGCAAAGATGTTCCTTTTGTCTTAATTCTCTTTCCTTCTGTGTTAATTCTCTTTCCTTTTGCTCGTTGCCATGTATGCTGGTGCATGCAAACATGCAATGTGTATATAGATAGCATAATAATTTTCTAAGCAAAAGCAGCTTTTCCCAACTTATCATCAAGGCCCCCGTGGGAAGATTAGAGTTTGTCTAAAGGATAGCCTATCAGAAGATCAAAATCAAGGATGGCATAGATATGGAAGTCCAAGAAAACCTCGGTTTCATTTATTTTGATTGGCACGGCCCTAGCGATCCCACAACACTCGAAGAATAGTCCTGATGGATTTTCGAGGAGTTTATTGGTTGAGACTAGCGGTATTTTGCCCAAAAGGGTTTCCGCTAGGAATTCTGACATGATATTAGTCTCGACCGACGGGTTGTGTAGGGCATCAGAAATTGTTCCCCTTAATGAGCAAGGTATGGTTGTAGAAGGTGAAATAATCCGAATTGCTTCGGAAGAACGTTCTCCGAATTGCTGTGAGGTTTTCGTGCCGGTTCGAGGTTCTGCCGTAATCCTCAAATTTGATAGCGAACTCCGAAGGATAAAGCATTCCTTCCTTCAATGTTTGTGGTTCGGGTGAGGGCTCAATAGTCGAATCTAAGGATAGAATAGGGCTGGATTCGGCTGATGAGGGCTCCTCAAAGCTTGACATGCCCTTTTTATGGAGGGGTTTGGCTTTTACAACGGGAGAAACATGCTTCTCTAGGATGTGATCAAGGATTTTCCTTTGCTCCGTCGTAGTTTTATGTGTAAATGACCCTCCGGCGGTCATGTCAAGGCATAGGGCAGCATCTATGTTTAGACCCGAACAGAAGAGATGCTATTGCACGCACTCAGGTAAAGACACATCTGGGCTAGAATGTAATAACATCGAAAACCTGGCCCAGGCTGCACCTATAGACTCCTTCTCGTCTTGCTCGAAATCGAGGATTGCCCTTGATAGAGAGTTGATACGGGACATAGGGAAGAATGCAAGACAAAACTTGTCTTTAAGTTCTTCCCAGTCTCCATTCATACTTCCTACGACATTAGTGTACCATTGATTCGCCTCCCCCTTGAGGGAGAACGAAAACAACTTCCACCTAAGAATTTCTTGTGTCATGCCCGGGATGCTCAGGCACAAACAGATTTCCTTGAAATCTCGCAGGTTTAAAAGGATCTTCATTATCATAACCAGAGAAGGGTTGTGCCCGAACTATAGCTTTTAAACTAGGGTGGAGTTCACAGCCGGATGAAAGTTTTGGTTTTTGAGAAAGTGGTGGCTCTTGGAACTCCCCCTTTGAAGCGGAAGGGTTTTCAAGATAGGTTGGCTTCATGTTGAATAGGATAAAAGAAATATTTTGTTTTAAAAAGGAAAATATAAAATATTTTTCTTTTAAAAATAATGGATACAGATACGATGATGAACTAGGGTCGAAGAAAATAGCAACCGTTCCCCAGCAACGATGCCAGAAAAGCTTGTTGGTATTTTTTAGCGTAAGCAGATAATTCCACAAGCGCACGGAAAGCACCGTTGTAGCCTTCACCCAGAAGTATTCACGGTATCGTATTTTCCATAGAGAATGGAGGTATTTTCCATAGAGAATGGAGGTATTTCTCCTAGCTAATTCGCCCAAGGATAACACAAGGGTAGAGATAGAAAGGGGTAGAGATGGATTCCTATAGCTTTAAGGTCTTAAGGATAGCATTGCTATACTTCCACCTGCTCACTTCGGGCACCGGATCACACCTGGTCTGCCAGGTGATGCCGGCCTGTAGCTCTACGCCGTACCTGAACGTGGGGTATTACAAAGGATGGACAGGCCTGTCACCCTCTGTCGCCTACCCCTCAACCATGGAGACAAGGCAAACAAAGGTAATCGTCAGCCTAGACACCACGTCTACGCTATTGACTACTACTCTAATGTTGATCAGGGTTATCCATCTTTATCAGAGCCCTCTACTAGAGCATCCGCCGCGAGGACGGACGACGAACCCGCAAACAAGAGAAGGTCAAGCTCAACTAGACAAAAGACACGTAAAAGACTATAAGAACCATGAATACTCACTTAGCCAAGATCCCGTTAAGGAGCCAAGTAAAATATCCGTAGAGGTACAAGGTTGGGGAAACGCCGACAAGCCCGGCACTCCCCCGCTCTCACCCTCACATCTCCTTTCTTACTCTAGCTAGCTACTAGGGCATAGCCCTTTAGAATGGAGCTCTAGTGGTAGTGGTGCTCTTTCTCCCTTTTTGTGTGTTGATGCTTTGAGGAGGGGGATGGCCCTCCTTTTAGGGCTCGTTTGGAACGGCAAATCCACGGGGGCATCCCCGCCTTTTCCCCGGGCTAGAGCACCGCGCGGAATTCGTCCCCGGGCTAGATTTCCCCACCGTTTGGAAGTCCACGGCGAGGCATGGCTGACCCCGACCCACGAGTTTTCCCCGGGGCGGCTCTCTCCCACCACAAGGGTCCGGGCGCAGCTTCCCCGTCTCGGCCTCGTCGCGACTTCATGAGTGAATGATCGCGCCACCACTGTCAAGACCGCCTTCTTTCATTGTCGCGGTGCAGCCACTTCGACCCCCCCTCCTCCGGTCGTCTCACCATCGCCGATCTGTCGCTCCGTTGTCTCGGCATCGCTGGTCCACCTCCCCGTCTCGGCACTACCACGCTCCGCCATCACGCGTCGTGGATCGCGACGCCAAGACGATGTCTCAAGGCTTCGACGGGCGCCTCCACCTCGGCCCCCTTCTCCGCATCCATTGTGATTGACTCCTGCAGCCCTGCCCCCTTCTCCTATTGCCTAAGTTTTCTAGGCCTCTTGATTCTTGCAGATCTTGACGAAGACCTTCATCCCAAGATCCAGTCAAGTGATAATTTCACCTGACATTGCTGAGGCGTAGGCAAGCTGGGCGGTGAATTGGT